GTCCTGGTCTTGGACTCGACAAAGCTGGACTTGACTACAGCTCTACTTGCTACGTGTACTGCTTTAGGCTAACCGAGACTTGCCATTTGCACTTATATATTGTAGCTCTTTTGTTGATTTTGACTGCTTTTATTGTCCTCATTTGTAAGTCGCTTTGGATAAAAGCATCTGCTAAATGACTAAATGTAATTAGACATGCTTTTTGACTAATAAAATTTAATTTAACCATTAAAAAGGAGTCGTAACAAAAAGCCGTAAACCTAGGGGAAACACTAAATACTTAATGTTAATCAAAACTGTATAGTCAAGTCAAGTCACCTTTATTTATATAGCGCTTTTAACAATACAGATTGTATCAAAGCAACTGAACAGTGTTTTAAATGTTTGTCTAATCAGATCATTTAAGTCCATTAACTTTCACTCTGACTCCCTTACTAGTGCACTGACTACTGAACTAGAGAGCTGATTGAGACGCACCCAGAGATTTGTTTATTTATTAATTTGTTCTTTTCTTTGTGTTAATTATTCTCGTCTTAAACAGAACAAAGTGTCCAAACTCACAGAAAAACTCCTGCTGAAGCAAATGAGATCCACGTGACACGATTATAAAGATGGAGTTTATTAAAGAGGAGAGTAAAGACATGAAGATTGAAGAAACATTCAGAGAAAAACCTGAAGATACTGAGGAACAAACAAAGATGGAGTTTATTAAAGAGGAGAGTGAAAACATAAGGATTGAAGAAACGTTCACAGCCAAAGATGAAGAACAAACAGGTTGGTTTTCATTCTCAAAGCTCTTTTTTAAAAGGATTTCAGCTTAATTTATTACTTCATTTCATTTGTTTTCTTAAAGTTCTCTTAAAGGCCATTTTCTACTCCTATTTCAGTGCTCTGATTCAAAAACAGCATTTAAAGGGTTGTGTCTCATTTCATATTTAAATGTCCATGTTCACTGCTAGGACTGAGTAACATTTTTGCATATGAAATAGATAAATAAAAGTTGTCTAACTTGCTCTGATATCATGCTGACATAGGGCAGCTCCCTAATAGTGTACTGAATGTTAGTCGACGAGAACAGGCTTAGTCGACTAACATTTTATTAGTTGGTAAGTCACAGGAAAACAATGGTCCATGTCCGTGACGGAGAGATCATTAACAGCTGGTCCTTGAGGTAATTACAGTGTATTAGGCAGGAAATCAAGACAGTCTCCTATCATTCATTAATCTCACATATGGCTTATCGTTTGGAAGTAAGTAGTGGCAGTTTTACACGGCCACTCTCTCTAACATTAATAAAGCGAAATGTGCGCTATTAGGGTGCATTTCTGAGTGCTTGTGCAGATTGTGCAAGCTATTAAGATGTTTACTGCATGACATGAAGGTGTCGGCGCTATTACAGGCATTTTCCCTGATAACGGGAGACAAATGTCATAATTTGTGCTCATGCAGATAAGAGGAAAACATCATTCGAAACTGAAGAATCTACTTTTATTTGTGTTCTCACAATATCAACAAAACGTTGTGCTTTTGTAAAATAAAGAAAATGGCTAGGGCTGTAGTATTTTTGTGGTTTTAAGTGTTCCTACCTACTTTTGATTTCTCCATCCAAAATATAGCAAATTCCGTGACATTCTGCGTCATACAGTAAATTCCGCTTTTATGACTGGATTCCCGTGATTCCATCTGCGTTTTTTGCCTCGTGGGAATAGAGCCCTATAATTATCGGATTACTCAATTAATCATTAGAATAATCTACTGATTACTTGATTACCAAAATAATCATTAGTGACGGGCCTAAACACAACAGAACATTCAAAACAAGCCCACGAAAACACAATCAAGATGAAAAATGCAAATGGAGCTTAACAAAATACCACTTAATTATCAGGCGCATGAAAAGCACACAAAATTAAATGCACACCTGGATTATGTCCTGGCGTTAATAAAAGAAACATTTTCTATGGTTAAAATAGACCAAAACTGCAAGTAAATGCGGACTATTAAAACATCTCTTAGTCTTACCAGGATTTTAGAATTTACTTTTAGAAACATTAGCTTGCACAAAGCATTCAGGCTCATTCTGTGTGCTGGGACTAATCCGGCGCCAGAAAACACTCGCTCCGCACTAGAAGAACAGTGGGAATTCTGAAGATTTTGCAGGAGACCTTGGCTAGTCAAAGGAGGGAACAAAACCTCAGGATTACAATCGAGGCATTTGACTGAGTTCAGAAAATGATATAGAGAAACTGCTTACTGATACAGATGGCGCTTTCCCACTGCGTGGTATGGCTCGGCTCGGTTTGCGTTTCCACTGCAGTTAAGTACCGCTTTAGAGTGGGCGGGATTATTCACATTAGTTGCGCTGCCTCTACTGCCGCGACTCCTGAAAAAGTTTTCATTCCGCGTCGCTCCGTCGAGCTCTTGCTGGAACTGATCCCCTGCTATCAACGGGAGTGTAGCATTTGGACCAATCAGACACACAACTATTTGTTATATTTCACAAATAATATCTAACGCCCCCTCACCTAACCAAAGGGCCAACTATGAGGGTCTATGGACCCTTTCCCCGAAATGCAACTAACACCTCAAAATGGCAGAACAGGCCTCTGGTTCCATGGCAACCAAAGACAAACCATCTGATAACACTAGTTTTATTGCTCAAAGGAATGTGGGCAGAGCAACTCTTACTCAAGTCTCGCTAAAACAGACCCATAATGCCAATAAAAATGGACTCTTCTCTAATTAATTCATGGGAAAACCTTACTTTGAATGAACACGTATACTTCAGGTCATTGTGTATGTTGTTACTGTTCTTGTATATTGTCTTTTGTATTGTATACTGTTTTATGCAGGCTTATGATAGAACCACTCGTACATGTACTCTTACCTATACCATGTTTAGTATCTATGAATTTGTTTTCTGATGATCTAAACGAGAGTGTATATTATATATTGATATTTATGCAACATATTAGTGTTCTAAGAATCTTTAGTAATTTTGCATCAACATCCAATCGAGTTCCATATGCAAATCATCATGCTCTCAGACAAAGGGTCATAAAACTCCCCAGTATTTCCAACCTCCCGCTTGGAATTTCAGCCTTTCTCATTGGACAAGGCCATCCTGAGAGGCGTGAATCTTGTCAGGCCTTAAAGGCCTCACATCAGTGACCCTCCTTCAGTCTGCGGTTCTGTTAGATTCTGAGAAGATGAGGATGCTGAACTAGTCTTCTAAGGACACCCTAAGTTCCTGCCAGGCCTCGGCCTTGACTTTCCATTCACCAAAGATCCTAGGATCTCAGCTGATGTCTCTCTTAGCTCTTTTTCACTTTCCACTGGGAAGAAACTCCCAATCACCATCGAGTCAGAACATCTTTGGATTTCATCACTCTTCAAACCCGGAAGAACGTAATCGCAAGTCCAAACCCTTGAAACCATCAAGACTTTCATCCGAGACAGCATCCGGACACTCGTCAACGACCAAGGCAATGCAAGTATCGAACATTTAACTAAATGAAACCGAGACCCCGTTGTAAAACGGCACTGATGGTTTTTAACTCGGGTGGTTCTGACTCATTTTCCATAACTGCATTCTCTAGTTTCTCTAATGGTTTCATTCATCCACTTTAGCTCCCGTTTTGTATGTCCGTGTGAGTGTATGTTTGTTTGTTTGTTTGTTAGACTGGTTTGTGTTAGTGTTTAGTTAATAAAACTCTTGTTCACATGCAAATTAAGTCCCTTTACGATTTTGATCCTTGCTACATGCTCTAATGCATTAATACTGTATGAAGGTGTTTTCTGTGGCCACGAAAATATCCTTTCCTAGAGTTGATATGAATTTACACTGAATGTTCACTGGACGAACAGATTAGTTGAGGGCAATTTAATTCTGCTACAGTTACTACTGGCAGCTGATATAAATAATTGTAATTAATCATAATTAATTTGAATTATTTATATACATTTCCCTTTTGAGCTGATTTGCTACAAGAGGTACGTCTGTACTTCCTCAACAGACAACGAAACGGACAGTTTTTGGTTGTTAAAAAAAAGGTGCGCTCGTTCAAAACAGTTGCGTTCGATCCTGTTGCATTCGGTTCAGTGACGCTTCTCTTTATTTTGATTTTGACATATTGAATCAACCTTAAGCATTAATTTTGATCCACGAAAAGATAACGTTAAAGATCAAGATGCAAGAATGTGGCATAGTTGCTGCTGAGGCAAATGGGCTCCCTCGCTCTTTCTGTTTCTTTGTAATAGCTGTAGACATGCTCGTTAATTCTTAATTTGGGTACAGACGTTACAAAAAGATCATATGATCATATGATTTTTTTTTTAAATCAGTATATTATAAAAGTTTTAAACAACTTATACACAGTCAAATTGATTTAACCTAACTCATGTTTTACAGTGTGACCACAATAACGGCATAGAGTAGCCTACCATACTGACTGGATAATCAGGAAAAATTGTTAAAATTAGAATTAATTATTGTTAGAATTAATACTACTAAAACAAAATAAAATTAATGCGTATGCCTATAGCCAAAGCACAAAATCTCTAAAACACAAAGTGCACAACTGCAGGCTCCTGCCGACAGCATACACTGAGAGAGCTTATAAACAATTTTATATCAGACATTTCTTGTAAATTACACAAATAATTGCAAAGAATCTAAAAGTAACATAATGAGTTTAATATGCCATTTTGAAGTAGAAAGGCTGAAATAGCAGCGTTGAACACTGCTGTGTGATTTTGCTCTATATCGTCAAAGGAAATATTCCAAACAAAGTCGCAGCTGAGCCGCTGCGCATATCCACGCAAACACAGCGGTGTTTCGTTTATAAATGAACCTGCGTTTTTTTATGAATCTGGTTGTCTGCCCACTAGGCATAGGCTATGGGATCCAGGTCTCTTTTTATTTTGTTTGGGCTTTTTGTGAAAAAATCAGAAAGGCGTTTTTTTTTCGCCATGTTGACTGGTGTATTTTTAAATTTTCAATGACAGATGCGGACGTGGTGATGTCACGTGACAATTGTTGCTTATTGTCATTAAGCTTTTTTCCCCTATGATTTTAATGAATATTCAAATTAATTAAATTTTTTTTTATTTTTTGTTACAAAATTTAAATGTATTTATTTTTAACACAGCACCCCCATTTTTTCTTTAGCTACTTCCCGCGGTAATGTGTGCAAGTCCAGAACAGAGACAAGTTGCTTGCAATAAGACACAAAACGGCCGGTTGCGTAAGTTCCTGGGGAAGCTCCTTAAGTTCGGCCATCCTACACACACGTGACTGACCGCTCGCTCGCTCCAACAGGAGGAGGAGGGTTGTGTTACTCTCTACACTGCACTCAACTTGATGGACTCCTACACTTTCAGTCTTTGAAGAGACATGAAAAACAATGCATACTGCAGGAACGGTATAATGGAAAATATTAGCGGTTTTGAAACTGAAATTTTCAAATCGCGGTATACCTTGAAACCGGTAATCGGCCCATGCCTATCCTGTACCCAGTAGAAAACCCCCCATAAGTGAACTGTACCGAACCGTACCATGCAGTGGAAAAGCGCCAAGAGAATAACTCCTTTTGGAGTGACTTTCTGCTTTGTAACTGCGATCTTTTTCATACTCAAACAGCAACATTATGCCCTAAAGAAAGTTGAAAGTGTAAAACGCATAAAATGACCCATTTAAACATAAATGGTGTTGGCTATTTTTGTATCATTCACTGCAAAAATAGCGAATGTGTTCAGGGACAAATTTAACATAGTTTGTGTGTTAAAACGGATGACACATCTATTGTGTAAGGCAATTAAACACAGAATGTGTCACTTAAAATCCTTAAGAGTTATGTGCAACTGAAAAAAAAAAACAGAAACTGCCAATGAATGCATTAATGTAACAAAAATATAAAACATTTGTAATTCTACAAAATCAAAACAGGCAGATGTAAAAATGTTAGCCTTTAAACTTCTGGTCAAATGTTGTTAGGGTGTCGGTGCCGATAGCCTTGTGGATAGTGCGTCGACTTAGTGCAACTGCATTCATGGCGACCTGAGTTTGATTCCCACCTTGAGGTCCTTTGCCGCTCCCCTCTCTCCACCCAATGCTTTCCTGTCAACTGTCCACTGTCCTATCACATTAAAGACATAAAAAGCCCATAAAATATAACTTAAATGTTGTCAGGGTAGAGAACAATGCATGCACATCAAAATGTTTTAAATCTCAGTTGCATAAATTCTGCTTAAAGGGTTAGTTCACCCCAAAATTTAAATTGGCTTTGGTTTTACTCACCCTCGAAGCTTCCTAGGTGTATATGACTTTCTTGTTTCAGACGTATCCAGTCAGATTTATATTAAAAAGTTGTCCTGGCTATTCCAAGCTCTATCATAGCAGTGTTAGCAACGGGTGTTGCAGTTGAACAGTCCACAAGTCGTCAAATAAAGCGCGCACATCCATAATAAAAAGGGCCACACACAGCACCGGGGGGATGAATAAAGGCCTCCTGTAGTGAATGCATGTGTTTTTGTAAGAAAAATATCCATATTTCAAACGTAATAAACACTTTTCTATCACTTCCACCAACTGTCATACGTGGAAGCCGTGCTGGGGGATGACGTAAGACGTCAGCGGTGCGTGATTAGTGATGAACACGGAGAGATAACAAAACCAAACGCCGGTCACGAATTAGAAGTACAAACTGAAGATTTGCATAGAAAAATGTTGGAGGATTTCTATGTAAATCAAGAGGAGACTGGTTTTCCTTTGCTAAAGTAAGGAAACTTTGCTTCCTTTCGTCCTATAAACAAACTCGTGAGACTAGCATATCTCAGAGCTCAGAGGCGCACGCGCTGTGGAACGGCTTCCGCATATGACAGATACTGGAAGTGAGAGAAAAGTGATTATTGAAATATGGATATTTTTCTTACAAAACACATGGATGCACTATAGGTGTCACGGTCACCAATTGTAGTGCCCATGAGCTCCGCCAGTGGGCACTCCATCCCTGACTTTTGCCATTCACCCTGGACTACATTCCCCATAATCCTTTGCCCCATTATCCTCATCATCTATTGCACCACCTGTCTCTCATTAGATCTCATCATCAGTTCACAGCTGTCTCACATTAGAAGGACTTTAAAAGATGTTGATTGTTAAGCCTGTAATGATTCCTAGTTTCTGTGATCCTGCCCGTGTTTCCTTGTTTTGCCTTGCCTTGCCTTTTGTGTATTTTGGATCTTGGACTGTTTATCTGGTTTTTATGATTGTTTTGCTGCCTGCCCTGACCATTGCCTGTTTACAGATTACTCTTTGTCTTTGCCTGGGATATTATTGTTTGCTGGTACTGGACCCTGCCTGTCTGACCACGTTTATGAATAAAGACTGCATTTGGATCCTCAACTCCGTTGTCACTACGCCTCCTTCGTTACAGAATCACCAGCCATACCCGGATCCAGCGGCTTTTAGAGCATTCCAGGCCAATCATGGACACCGTGGACCAGCTACTGCACCTTCGGCAAAGAGATTTGTCTATTGAGGATTACGTTCATCAATTTTGTGAGTTGTCCGATCAAGTGCCTTTGTATGACAGATACTGGAAGTGAGAGAAAAGTGATTATTGAAATATGGATATTTTTCTTACAAAACACATGGATGCACTATAGGTGTCACGGTCACCAATTGTAGTGCCCATGAGCTCCGCCAGTGGGCACTCCATCCCTGACTTTTGCCATTCACCCTGGACTACATTCCCCATAATCCTTTGCCCCATTATCCTCATCATCTATTGCACCACCTGTCTCTCATTAGATCTCATCATCAGTTCACAGCTGTCTCACATTAGAAGGACTTTAAAAGATGTTGATTGTTAAGCCTGTAATGATTCCTAGTTTCTGTGATCCTGCCCGTGTTTCCTTGTTTTGCCTTGCCTTGCCTTTTGTGTATTTTGGATCTTGGACTGTTTATCTGGTTTTTATGATTGTTTTGCTGCCTGCCCTGACCATTGCCTGTTTACAGATTACTCTTTGTCTTTGCCTGGGATATTATTGTTTGCTGGTACTGGACCCTGCCTGTCTGACCACGTTTATGAATAAAGACTGCATTTGGATCCTCAACTCCGTTGTCACTACGCCTCCTTCGTTACAGAATCACCAGCCATACCCGGATCCAGCGGCTTTTAGAGCATTCCAGGCCAATCATGGACACCGTGGACCAGCTACTGCACCTTCGGCAAAGAGATTTGTCTATTGAGGATTACGTTCATCAATTTTGTGAGTTGTCCGATCAAGTGCCTTTTGGTGAGATCATGTTAAAGGACCTTTTCAGTTATGGACTTAAAGAACCAACAAAATCATGGTTACCTGAAGGGAAATTTAACTGTAGTTTAAGGGACATTATGCACTATGCTCTCTTGTTATGTGGTTCTCCTTTCACTGTGGGAGAGGCAGAGGACTTTAAAACCCCAAAGACTTTTCATAAAATGGCTACCAGTACAGAGACTTTTCATAAAATGGCCACCAGCCCAGAGACCGTTAACAAGATGACTGCCAACCCAAAGTCTCCCCACAAAATGGCTGCCAGCCTGGAGGCTGTTCACAAAATGGCCACCGCTCCTGAGTCTCGTCCCATCATGGCCGCCATTCCAGAGCCTGCTCATGTCAAGCCTGCCAAGCCAGAGTCTGCTCAAGTCAAGCCTGCCAAGCCAGAGCCTGCTCACGTTTCAGCTGATCTTCCAGAGCCTGAGTCATGTCAAGTCACAGCTGATCTCACTGAGTCTCATCACGTCTCAGCTGATCGTCTAGAGTCTCGTCACGTCACAGCTGATCGTCCAGAGTTTTGTCACGTCACAGATGATCATTCAGAGTTTCGTCACGTCACAGATGATCGTCCAGAGTCTCATCACATCATAGCTGTCATCCCAAGCCACGCAGACTCCGTGTTCTCAAGCCTGCCAGCTGCTACTCACTCCAGTTCCCCAGGCATAGCACCGTCAGTCTTGGAGATAGATGATGTACTCTCTGTCCTGCCAGTTATGGCTACGGCCATTCTCTGTGTTTGGGCCACACAGGTTTCCCCAGAGGTTGCAGCTTCCACTGCAGAACCTCCCAAGGTGGTGGCGCCCACTCTAGTCTCTTAAGTTTACCCCAGATCCCTCTCCAGTCCTTGAATCTGATTCAGAGCCCGCTCCAGTCCCAGAGCCTGCTCCAGTACTCGAATTCATTCCCAAGCCTGTTCTAGTTCAAGAATCAATTTCCGAGCCCGCTCCAGTCCCAGAGCCTGCTTCAGTACTTGAATTTATCCCCGAGCCAGTTCTAGTTCCAGAATCCATTTTGGTTGCTTGGTAACAAGACCTGAGAGTGGATTGTCAAGCTTGATAATGCAATTTAAGATTTCCTAACTAGAGATAAGATACGATTTTGTAAGATAGGATAAGAATCCCAAATCAAGTTAAGATGTGCTTCTGTAATACGAATTTGTGAAAAATCCTAATTTAACATATCATATTTTAAGTTAAGACCTAAGATAAGAAACTTTCTGTAATACGCGCCCAGAAGAAGAAGAACAACAATGATTACATAAGGTGCCTATGCACCTTCGGTTCTTGGCCCCTAATTAATTAATCTGGGTCAAACTGTTTTTTTTTTGTTTAGTTTTTTTGCTTTTTTTTAAAGAGGGTTTCAATGTCAGCTTGCTAGTTTTTGAGACGTCCTAAATAAATGAAGAGTTAGCAATATTGGGAAGGGTTTCTCAGATTACATTCAACACCTTTTGCAGTTGCTTAGTGGATATAAGATGCAGTTGTATGTTAGGTTTGACACTTTACATATTTGAATGTTTTGATGTGTTCTGTGTTATTATACTGGGGTTAACATTTTTGTCTTTTTTACCTTAGACCTGATGGGACTGAAAGAGGAGAGTGAAGTACTGAATGAAATGGAAGAGAAAGATCATGATTTCATAAATGGAGAAAAATCTTTTAGTTGTTCACAGACTGAAAAGACTTCCTCAAGAAAAAGGGCTCAAAAGACAGGAAGAAGATGTTATTTCACCTGCCAACAGTGTGGAATAAGTTTCACTCAAAAAGGAAGCCTTAACAGACACATTAGAGTTCACACTGGAGAGAAGCCTTACACCTGCCAACAGTGTGGAAGAAGTTTCAACCGGAAAGGAAACCTTAACTCCCACATGGCCGTTCACACTGGAAAGAAGCCTTACACCTGTTCTCGGTGTGGAGAGAGTTTTGATCAACATGAAAACCTTAAAGCCCATATAAGAACTCATAGAAAGAAACTCCACACATGTCCTCCGTGTGGAAAGAGTTTCTTTCAAAAACGACACTTTGAAGGCCATATGAGAATTCATTCTGGAGAGCAACCCTACACATGCCCTCAGTGCGGAAAGAGGTTTAATCATAAACGGCGCTTAGAAGACCACATAAGAACTCACACTGGAGAGAAGCCTTTCACCTGCCAACAGTGTGAAAGAAGTTTCAGCCAAAAAGGAAACCTTGACAGGCACATGAGTGTTCACACTGGAGAGAAGCCTTACACCTGCCAACAGTGTGGAAGAAATTTCAACCGGAAAGAAAACCTTAACTCCCACATGACCGTTCACACTGGAGAAAGCCTTTTCACCTGCCAACAGTGTGGAACAAGTTTCACTCAAAAAGAAGGCTTTACCAGACACATGAGAATTCACAATGTAGAGCAGCTTTACACATGTGATCAGTGTGGAGAGAGTTTTGATCAACATGGAAACCTTGAAGTCCACATGAGAACTCATAGAGAGAGACCCTACACATGCTCCGAGTGTGGAAAGAGTTTCTGTCAAAAACAACACTTTGAACACCACATGAGAATTCACACCGGAGAGCAACCCTACACATGCCCTCAGTGCGGAAAGAGGTTTAATCATAAACAACACTTGGAAGACCACAAAAGGATTCACACTGGAGAGAAGCCTTTCACCTGCCAACAGTGTGGAAGAAGTTTCAACCAAAAAGGAAACCTTGACAGGCACATAAACCGTCACACTGGAGAGAAGCCGTTTATATGTGGTCACTGCGGAAAGAGTTTTAAGAATAAAGCAGCATTTAAACACCACATGAGGTTTCACATATGAGAGAACAGTTTTTTTATGTTATCAGTGTGAGATGAGTCATGTAATAAAACCAGAGAGAAGACTTTGCGGTGCCATCACTGTGGAAAGACTTGCAGAAACAAGACTATCTTGAGGTTCACAGAAGCATCACTGATATAATTCACGATAGCTGAGCAGCAGATTTGGGTTTGTTTACACCTGGGTTTAAAATGTGTTTTGGTTGATAGGATCACAAATAGGCTGTTCCTGTATCACTTCTGTCCCCATTTTGTTAAGGGGAGGGGTCTTTCACATCTTGTGATCAAATTAATAAAATAGGTTTACTCAATTTACATATAAACGTGAGTAAGTCTTGGGAAAACTACCAAAGAGGGAAAAGATTTAATGAAGAAGACTTAGTAAGCAGTGCCGGTGATAGTGATAGTTAATCAATAAATAGAAAAGGGGATATAATAAGTGGGGTCCCATTAAGTGTGAACATGGGAATATAATGGGAGGAAATGTAATGGAAGCCGGACACTAGGTGCGTTTCCATTACAGATTTGCGCAAAATTTTGGCGTTATTTTCTGAATGTCGATAAAAAAGTATTGAGAAATGACGGCGTTTCCATTAACCAATGTTATGCGGCTAAAACGTAACCTTTCGCCTCTCGCGATAAGTCATGGCAACGGATTTTGGTGGGATTTTGGCTAAGGTGCGTTTCCATTACAGATTTGCGCAAAATTTTGGCGTTATTTTCTGAATGTCGATAAAAAAGTATTGCGAAATGACGGCGTTTTGTATAAAAACATTAACACAAGCATTGTGGCCGTAATCAGCTTCAGTGGCCGTATCAGAGCTACACTGCACTGCAGACGTGTGCAGTGTAAATTGTCTAAGCATTAATGGTAGGGAAAGCCCCTTATACTGGAGCGCGGCCACTTATGAAGTGTTTCTTGGAGGTTATAGTACATTAAAGAATTATCATATGACTTTTTACATACGCCATGTGACCTGTAAATGCGAAAAAGCCGTTTCCATTGCAGTTTTGCGAATTAATCCTTTTTCGCATTGCCTGAAAAACCACCTCATGCAAGCGTGTAAACTTTTTTTGCGATATATGGCCGTTTTTGCGAAATTGGCGCGTTTCCATTAGGCGTATTTTCAATTCGCAATTTCAATTTGCGCAATTTGAAGGGTAATGGAAACGCGCCTACTTACAGATAACTAGTGTGTTTTGTGTTTTCACCTGAGCTCTTTCTTCCGTCAGTTTGTCTGTCATGTTTGTCTTTAGCCCAAACCATGCCATCTCTGTTGCTGTAGGTACGTTTGATTTTATAATGGAATCTTAAATGGTAAGCAACATGGGTAATTTTTCATCAGTAAGGTCCAGCAAACTACCACCACACCAGAGCAACTCATTCTCAGTGTAAGGAGTGTTGTGATGCTGGTAATGGATAACTGCTGGTAATGCTGTTTTTGAATGTGTTTGTTCATTATCTGCCGAAATTTTGACAGAGGGAGCGAGTCTGCTTCATATGCACACTTCAGACCATTTTCGCATTGCCTGAAAAACCACCTCATGCAAGCGTAAATTTTTTTTTTGCGATATATGGCCGTTTTTGCGAAATTTTTTCAATTCGCAATTTCAATTTGCGCAATTTGAAGGGTAATGGATACAGATAACTAGTGTGTTTTGTGTTTTCACCTGAGCTCTTTCTTCCGTCAGTTTGTCTGTCATGTTTGTCTTTAGCCCAAACCATGCCATCTCTGTTGCTGTAGGTACGTTTGATTTTATAATGGAATCTTAAATGGTAAGCAACATGGGTAATTTTTCATCAGTAAGGTCCAGCAAACTACCACCACACCAGAGCAACTCATTCTCAGTGTAAGGAGTGTTGTGATGCTGGTAATGGATAACTGCTGGTAATGCTGTTTTTGAATGTGTTTGTTCATTATCTGCCGAAATTTTGACAGAGGGAGCGAGTCTGCTTCATATGCACACTTCAGACCACTCCATAGACCACAATGCAACACTATTATGATGTCATCGTAGATCGCGTTTAATTTATACCCACCCCAAACAACTCTATAATATATATATATATATTAGTGCTGTCAACGTTAACGCATGTGATTAATTTTACAATCCTTAACGCGTTAAAATAATTTCACGCAAAATGACTGAAGCACAATTTCTATTCTAACCCTTTAACCCAATTTTACTTCTCTGCTTGCGATCAGATCATTTTAAGCCGCTAAACTCCAGGAAAGTTTTCAGTCCACTGATCCAGTCAGCGAATGCATTCAAACAATCCGTCCAAAACAGCGCTAATATAAAGGAAACCAGGCTAATTACATCAGAGGTTGCAGAGAGAACAGAGACTCGCGTTACGTTTTCAGTGAATTATTAATTCCAGTGTGTTTGGCTTTAAAACACGAGCTCTGTCATATTCTGTGATTGTCTCTGAAGAGCGCGAGCCCTCACACGTCACACACGCTGTGTGGAGTACAGACTGAACGGATTGTCAACACATCCCACCGCTGTATGGCCAGATGTATGGCAAACTACGGTTTCTCTACTGGATAACTCACTAGTAAAGTTTTGATGGATGAAGACTGCAATCAAGGTAAAGATGATTGTGGTGGCGTACAGGAGTCATACAGTAAGCACGCGTGAGTCTGTTATAATAATGCGTGTATGAGCTCTAGGTTTTTGGCATCTCCATGTGGTCTGTTCGGTATCGCAACTTAGCTTCTCTAAAATGTAAAAAAGCTCTTTGCTGTTGCACTGTACACATACTATAAAATTCTGATTTTATATTCTCTTTCATATGTGCTTATATGGACTCCTTATATCATTTGGTTTTTTGGTGTCCTTTTGGAGTTTCTAAGTGTCCTTTTTTTGGAAAGACATCTAAATTTATCTTGAAAAAAGCTTGCAGAAAATAACAGATTTTTGAGAATCACCCTTCAATCTTTTGGTTTACTCTGCTAGATATAGCAAATGATGACAAAATAAACATTTGAAATGATAAATGGTCTATGCTTAATTTCATGGTGTGCGATTAATCGCGATTAATCACAGAAAAAGGGTGTGATTAATTAGATTTTAAAAATATATAAATATACATTTCATCAATGTATATGATTTACAACTGAATAGCTCTGCAGTGCATTAAAAAATATTGCCTGAATCCAAGCTGTTCCTTCAAGTTTTTTTTATTTTACATTTTACAAAATATTAATAACGAACAAAATAAATATGTTTCTCTTATTTTAACAGTTTGGCTTAGCTTCGTGCTTTTTGACAACTTGGCTTAGTTCAGTGCAGCATTATGGTAAAACTAGATCAGTGTACTAAACATGAACAACATCTTCTACTTAAAAGTTGAGTAACGGCTTAACCTGAACATAAAAACAAAACAAAATAAATAGCAGCATTACAACAAAACCTGGGGAAAAAAATCACAAAGATACTTTCATCAAGGGAGTCCAGTTCTTAAAGTGCTTTGAGGAAAATCTCCTGTAGTAGCTTCAATTACTTTCATTCATTCATCTATACTTTTACTCTCACTTTGAAATAAACACGAGATTCTTTTCACGAGTTCACACTTACATTAAATAAAGGTTATGCGTATTTGGCGTGCTGTCCGGGGAGAGGGGTCCGAGCTCGGTGTCCAGCCACCCCCCCTTTGCTCCCTCGCCATCTGAAAGACAAAGAAAGGACTCTTGTGACTCACACAGATAAGTTCCATTGTCTGTGTTACTGAACTGTTGTTACTTACATTCTCCTGCCGTCTTTTATCGCCTGCCCCTCTGTTGAATAAAGCCTGTTGTGATTTGCCACTTACCTGAGTGTTACCCGTGTGTGTTGCTGGCAGGCGATGGGTCAAAAAAAGTGCGGGGGACAGAGCACTGTGCGGGACACTGTTTCAAACAGCATCCCCCTTCAATATCACAATTATTCAAATCTACGCCCCAACAAGTGATCATAATGATGTTGAACTGGAGAAGTTTTACTTACGGCTCCAGAATATCATTAACATGGTCAGCAAGACAGACATTCACATCAACCAAGGAGACTGGAATGCAAAAGTAGGCAAAAAGGAAATGAAAGTTTGGAAAGATCACTGTGGACCTTCTTGCTATGCAATGACTAATGAAAGAGGGAGGTGACTGCTGGAGTTTGCCAGTTACAACAGCCTGGTATTAGCCAATACCATAGGTGAACATAAAGCTTCCCGACGATGGACATGGCACGCACCTAGTGGAGCCCATCACAACCAGATTGACTACATACTGGTTCAAAACTGTTTACGATCTGCCATTAACAGAGCAAAAACAAGGACATTCCCAGGGGCTGATGTTGGGAGTGACCACGATCTGCTGATAATTAACTTCCGAGTGAGGCTGAAGAAAATCATTAAGCCAAAGAACAGCAGGTTAAAGTTTAACCTTGAACTGCTGACTGACCCAAACATCTTGTGTGTCCTTTCGAGCCACAATTAGAGGAAAATTGGCGCCACTCCAAATGACTGATGAGGACATTGAAGTTATGACAACCACCTTCAACACAGTAATGAGAAAAACTGCTAGGACATAATTGGCCTCCATCGCTCAAAAAAAACCTTGGGTTATGGAAAAGATTCTTGAAATGTGTTACACCCAGAGAGATCTCTAAAACTGTAGGCATACAACTGGGGCAGTCGAATACCATGAAGTCAATCAAAAGATCAGAAAAAGCATGAAGAAGGCTAAAGAACACTGGATAGGACAGCAGTACACAGAAATAGAGAATAGTTTGAAAAAGAACAACAGCAGAAAAGCATTTCAAATTGTGAAAGACCTAACCAAACAAAAACAATCAAAAGTTAGTACCGTACTAGTTAAATATGGGAAATGCCTCACAGAGGCAAGTGACATTACAGGCAGATGGACTGAGTACTGTCAAGAACTATATAACCATCAGACCAAAGGAGACCTAGAAGTGCTTGAGGTACCAGAGTCCTCAAATGATGACAACTTCCCCATTCTCAAAGAAGAGGTTGAGGCAGCAGTAAAATCGCTGAAGAGTGGGACAGCAGCTGGAACAGATAACATCCCAGCTGAACTCATCAAGAATGGAGGGTAGCCAGTGATAGAGATACTACCAAAAATCTGCAACAAGATCTGGCAGACAAGTGACTGGCCAGAAACATAGACCCAAACACTAATGATAACCCTACCCAAAAAAGGTATTCTTCAGTTGTGCCAGAACTATAGAACTATCAGTCTTATCAACCAGACTAGTAAAGTGATGCTTAAGATCATCTTGAACAGATTAAAGCCTCAAGCAGAAGAAATTATTGCTGAAGAACAGGCTGGGTTTCGCAAAGGGAGAAGTACCATAGA